GTACAACAATGAATGAATGGAAATCCAAAATCTCTAAGTTTTCATTAAAATTAATAATAATAATTAAGAATTATCTATGAGGAAGTCAAATATTAATGACTTCATTAGCAAAACTATCAGGTGTGGACCCCAAACACACTACCAGTGATAAAGCAATCCAAAAGTGCTGCAAATTCTTACATTATGTCCCAAGAATTACCAGCAACAGCCAAGCAGGTCTTTTTGAAGAGTTAATTATTCATTACATTCACATCAACAGAAAGAAGATATTCTTGAGATGAGTTTCTTTAAAGCTCCCATCATGTCCCTGTTCCTCAGGCTGTAGATAAAAGGATTCAGCATGGGTGTGACCACAATGTACATCACTGACGCTATGGCACTCTTCCTGGGGGAGAGCGTGGCTGCGGAGCTAAGGTAGACACCAAACACTGTCCCATAAAACAAGGAAACGACAGAGAGGTGAGACCCACAGGTAGAGAATGCTTTATACTTTCCTCCCACTGACGGGATTCTCAGAATGGAGGAGGCAATCTGAATATAAGAGCAAATGATTCCAAGAAGAGTAACCCCACCCCACACGCTGGTCACAAAATATTGAAGGATGTTATTAATGAGGGTGTCAGAGCAGGCCAGCTTAAGGACTTGACCAAGTTCACAGAAGAAGTGAGGGATTTCCAAGTCTGTGCAGAAGGACAGAGGCAGCACCATTAGACTGTGGAGCAGGGCATTTGTGATGCTAACACATAAAGAAAGTAGAATCAGCAGACCACAGAGGCGGGGGTTCATGATGGCTGTGTATCTCAGTGGATGACAGATGGCTACGTAGCGGTCATAGGCCATTACAGCAAGGAGGCAATTTTCCAAACCAGCAAAAATCAAACCAAAGCAAATCTGGGTGAGGCAGCCCGTGTAACTGATGGATTTTCTCTTCGTCTGGATATTCACCAGCATCTTGGGGACCGTGGTGGTGCTAAAACAGATGTCATTAAAGGACAGATTGGAGAGGAAGAAGTACATGGGAGTGTGGAGGTGGGAGTCTGAGCTCACAGCCAGAATGATGAACAGATTCCCAAGCACGGTGACCAAGTAGATGGTGAGGAACAGCCCAAAGAGGAAGGGCTGCAGTTTTGGATCCTCTGAGAGTCCCAAGAGGAGAAATTCTGCAACATCTGTTTTGTTGTCCATTTTCATGTTGTTCATGAGTCTGGGGGTGGGGGGGAATAGAAAAGATAGAAGAAATAACAGAATTCTTATTTTAGAGAAATCATCATGTCTACATTATGAAATAGAAGAATCTCCTGTTTCTCTCTCCCTCCCTTCTCTTCTCTCCTCTTTTCTCTTCTATCTCTCCTCCTCTTCCTCCTCCTCCTCCTCCTCCTCCTCCTTCTTCTTCTTCTCTCTCCCCTCTCCCCTCTCTCCTATCTTTCTACCTCTTCTCTCTCCTCTTTTTTATCTCTTCTGTCTTTTTTCCTCTTCTCTCTCTCCTCTGCTCTCCTCTTCTCTCTCTCCCCTCCTCTGTATCTCCTCTCTCTTCTCCCCTTTCTCTCCTCTTGCTCTTTCACTGCTCCTCCCCAGCTTGCTTGCTCTCTTACTGCCATTTCTCATTTATTTCCCATGATCCATGGCCCAGATTTTATTCTGGTGTCTAATTGTTGACAAATTTGTTGGCTAATGGGAACCAACTCTGCCATTTGGTCAGAATTAACTCATACTAGACCCTCCAGTGGTTTCCCATGACTGTAAATGACACAACAGCAGACTGTTCCCTATCTCCTTCTGACTGTTAGTGGATTGAAATGGCAACTCCCTACAGACTACATCACCAGGTGCTGTTGAAGTTCTATGTCCTCAAGTTCACAACAACATATAGCTACCCTATGAAAAACAGATTAGCATCTTGTTCTTTCCTGTGCCATCCTCTGTATCTCTACCATGTTCAAGTCCAGTGTTATAGTTAACCCATCTCTATGAGGGTCTTCCTCTATTTCTCTGACCCTCCACTTTTCCAAGTCTGATGTCTTTTTCCAAGGACTGGTTCCTTCTGATAACATGTCCAAAGCCAGTGAGATGAAATTGCACCATCATTGCCTCTAAGAAGCAACCTCATTGTACTTCCACCAAGATAGACTTGCTTGTTCTTCGGGCAGTCCAAAAGACAGATTCCCTGCTCCTACAGCCCTCCCACAAAAGCATACCCTCTTAGCAATTCTTTTTTCCTCCATGTACTCAGTCATACTCTGCTCCTGCCCTCTAGGATATCGTTACAAAAGTCCTCTATCAAAATTTGATGGCATTGCACAACCACTCTCTGCACATGCCTCACCAATTTCAACTTCTCTGGCACTTCTCTCGCATGTAATGTTCTATTCACACCCCGCCCATTAATGATGCACCTACTGCAGTAGTTAACTTGGAGGAAGCCCTGAACACCTACACAACCTCAAAAGGAGAACCTACACTTGAAAATCTTTTAAAACCCCTAAAGTGGGACAATATCGTGTGGCAAGTAATAGAAAAGACTATGCCTTGGATCAGGCACATCTTCTTTTTTAAAGTATTATCGTTGTTCATAAGTATTTTGGAGAAGCCTAGATTCACACAATGTAGATTTATATAGTTACACATATTTTGATTTCCTGACTGCTGGTACCAAGGGTATTGATTATGGATTCAAGTAAGATTAAATCATTGACCTTTTCAATCTTTTTTTCCATCTATCACAATGATGTCTATTTTTCCAGTGGTGAGGATTATTGTGTTCTTAATGTTGAGAGGTAAATCATGTTGGAGTCTTTCATCCTCTGCAGCAAGTGTTTCCTGTTCTTACTTTCAACAAGCAAGATTGTGTCATCTGCCTCACACAGATTGTTGATGAGTCTTCTTCCAATCCTGATGCCACATTCTTCTCCTTAAAGTCTAATTTCTTGAATTATTTGCCCAGTATGCAATTTAAGTAGGTATGGAGAAAGGGCACATTTCTGAAGAAGACTCTTGATTTTTAACTACGCACTCTCTTCCCTTGTTCTGTTCAGACAACTGCTTTTTGGGTCTATGTGTAGTTTTTGCATGAGCACAATTATGTGTTCTGGGATTCCCATTCTTCTCAATATTAGCCATGTATGATCCATGTATGTTTGCTTGTATGATCCAACAGTCAAATGGCTTTGCTTGGCCAATAAAACCCAAGTAAACATCTTTATGATATTCTGTGCTTCTAGCCAAGATGTATATGACATTAGCAAGGATATCCTTTGTGCCATGGCCTCTTCTCAATCCAGCTTGAATCTCTGGCAGTTCTCTACCAATGTATTATTCTAATCCTTTTAAAACTGTTTTCAGCAAGATTTTACTTGCATGCCATGTTAATGATAGTGCTCAACAATTTTCACCTTCTGTTGGGTCACCTTTTCTTTGGGAATGGGAACTCACACGGATCTTTTCTAGTCAGTGGGCCAGGTAGGTATCATTTAACCTTTTTGTCAGAAGCTAATGAACATGTCCGGGGCTGCATTTGATTGTTAAAATTTATCGATTGATATTCCATCAACTCCTGAGGTCTTATCTTTTGCCAGTATCTCTGGGATACCTTGAACTTTTTACTTCATTAACGTCAGTTTGAATCATATGCTGTTTCTTCAATGACTCAGTACCAATCAATTCTTTTTGCTGCCATGGCTCTCTGTATTTCTTCTTTCCATATTCTTTTGATGCTTCCTGTTTCATTCACTATTTTGCCCATATAATCAATCAATCCTTCAGCATTTCAACTTGAAACTTGACTTTATTCTTCAGTTCTTTGAACTTGAGAAATGCGGAATTCTTTCTCCCTTTGATATTTTCTAACTTCAGTTCTTTGCATACATTGTTCTAACACTTTGTTTTGTCTTCTCAAGCTGCTCTTTGAAACCGTCTGTTCAATTGTCTTACTTCAGCGTTTCTTTTGTTTTGGCTTCTCTGTGTTGCAATGCAATTTTCAGAGTCTCTTGTGACATACCTACAAACTTTGCTGAAATCTGTCCACCACAAGTGAATTACTCATAATTTAAATACTGGGAGTACACCTTCCAGAATCATAGTAACATGTAAAACATCACCCTTCTCCTGTAATACAGTGTCCTGATAGATAAGTGCTGTACCCAAAGGAGAAAATTATAATACAGACAAGCTTACAAATATCACAAAAAGTATGCATACTATGGGAAATATAAAACAAACAGTCTGACCTGTAATAGTATATCAGTACAGTAGAAGCCTGTAGTTAGGATACCCAGTCACATTAGAGTTTTATCCATCTGAGTGGTCAGTATAACCCCAAAATATGGCCAGGTCATGGATATCCATGGTACACTTATACTCTTCTCCAACACCAAAGCTCAAAGGCATCAGTTCTTCTTCTATCCTCCTTAGTCATTGTCCAACTCTCTGACTCTTAACAAGTGATTGCAAAGACCATGGCCTGTATCAGACACTCCTTAGTCTCCA